TCTTCATCCTTTCCGGTAGCGCTGCTCGCATCCGATTCCGCCTCATCGCTACTTTTCTAAAATTAGCAAAAATGAATAGCCTCTTCGCTAACCTCTGTTTTCTCACACCCATAATTTATAATTTAAACCGAATTTCAATGCATTTTATGAGGCATACCGCCGTGGTCAAAGAATACTATCGTTTCGGATTAGGTGTGGGAATGTTCGACGCACATCAAAATCAGTTTGAAATGGCCAAAGTCTTGAAAATGTTTCTGTCAGAAGAACTAAGTCGGCAATCTCAATAAAATACGGAACAAATGTCCTGATCGCTAGCAGGCTGACCATCAGACGATACAGCACTGGTCAAAGCAATCGAAAAGCTGTCAGCTGCGATTCTGATATTTGCCTCTGTTCAGCTTCGAATTACAGCTCAATAAAGAATTATAATTACTTAACAAATACCAAAAATGCTGGCAAACTTCATGTTGTGAAGGCGATATTTTCAAGATCAAGTCAACGGTTCGATGCTAGCGACCAGAAAATCAATCTTTCTATTAATCGTCTAGGGCAAGCATGTACTTGGGCGCGTTTCACATAATCTAGAACAGTTCTTGAAAAAAGAAACCACCCAGAGATTACCCAAACGATGTTTACTATATAAGGCATTGCTGGCTGCTCTGACCAATTCCAGGAGCTTTAATCCTTCAAAAAGAGTTCAAAAAAGTGAAAATTTTGCTCTCCAAGATTTTATAACATGCCGAAAATTTCAAAATGATTTCGAAACCTGTCCAAATCCACCGGTGGTCGTCGTGGGCTCTGGCGATTTTTCCTTCGCAACAATATCAGCAGTGTTGTCCCCCGAAGCTGCTGCCTCGCGATGCCCACGTCGCGAACGGCGAGTAGATGATGGCTTTTCGCGCCCAGGCGATGAGTCGTCACCCGACGATGCTCTTCGAACCGCTTCTGGAATGCAAAGCATATCAACACGAAGGGCTTTTGCCTCAAAAATCACTAAGGCAGTGAGCTCCTCAAAAGATGAAACACATTTTAGGGGTCGCCGGGAAGCTGAGCATGCGACGGGAAAAGTTGTCCGCTGCATAGTACTGGAAAGGCTGTTCGCTAGTCGAAGATCTGAACTGCAGCTGAACCAACTACTCCAAGTAATCAAAGAAAAATCCTATTTCGTATTAATTTTACAAAACCCGGACAAAATTTCAGGATTCTCAAAGTTAATATAAACGAACCGGCATCCTTGCGCGCTTCTCGTAGTGCAGTTTGTTGCTTCGCTAAATATTCCGCAACCAATGGATTCGGTGGCGAAGCCTGCAAAGACAGACGTTATCGCTACCCGTAACAGTAATTAGCAGCTAAATTTGTCCTCATATTGTTGCTGTAAGCATTAAATTGGACATAAAAAAGATCGGGCCGAGATTGAATTTTTCGATAAATCAGACCTCGTTAAAGTGAACAGGTACAGGAAAATCTAAGCAATAAAATGATTTTACACGATACGAGGAAAATATAGATGACCGTTGCCACTGAAAAGGAAGTTAATCCCTCTTTTTTATCTGTTCATATTACTGCCGGCGGTGAGATAACAGGCGATGAACTCACCAAATCTCTTTGCGGGCTCTCTGCACCCTTGGGCGCAGC